AACCCCTGCCAGGTTGCCCATACCCCTGCTTGCCCCAAAGCCTCACACCAGTGCTCTCAGATCTTCCCCTGGTGGGAAGGGGGTGGGAGGTGCACTGAGCTTGGCCAAGGGTGCCTGTAGTCACTGCTTCTAGCCCAGCCATGGGTGCAACCCACTGCCCCTTCCCCAGAGGCTCAGCTCTGTCCTCCAGGCTTGCTGCCCCTGGCACCTGAGCAAGGGCTGTCCCCCTGGGGCTGCGCAGACTGGGAGCAGATCCTAGCAGCCTGTTTGGGAAACAATGTGGCAGCCCCTCAGGTCCAGGAGCGGCAGAGACCGGCAGGCTTCAGTCTTGGGTGCAGCAGCAGCATCTCCTGGGGCTCCTGGACTCTGTTTCAGACACCTGGTCTGGCCCCATCCCTGGAGGTGCAGGTCCTGGCGTGCTGCCCCCCGGGTGATGTGAGCTGCCTGGGTATCATTCCCTTGGCCTGCTCTGAAACAAGGTGGGGGCTCGGCCCCAGGCCCCATGGGGGTTACGGTAAGGCTGTGGCAGGTTCTGCTGGGGTCTCCTACCTCAGTACTCCTGTGTGCTTGGAGCTGTGCCCAGGTGGCTCCTGGCACCAGCCTAGCCCTGCCCCTTGATCACACAAGCTAATGGGAATCAAAGAGGCCGGTTCCGGGTGCAGGTGGGAGAAGTTGGAGCGGGGATGGAGGGAGGGCCTGGGCTTCTCCCTCCATTCCTGCCTCCATCTGCAGGGCTAGGGCTGGGAGGGGTGAGAGTATGGGAGAAAGGGAAGGAGCCAGCACCCAGATTAAACCACCTGCAGCCCCGGATAAGGCTGGGGCTGGTCAACACATGGGCGTTGCCTGGTGCTGGGGGAAGCTTGTTGGGCTGGCAGTTGCCAGGGACCTACTGCCCATCTGGCTGTGGCAGCTGAATGTGCCAGCTCTCTCCTTGCCTTCCTGCTCCTCGGCGCTGCAACCCCCCTGGCACGAGCTCACAGGAGGCAGAGGGGGAAGCCAGAGGGGCCCTGGGCCAGTTGTGGCTGCACCAGCTGTACAGGTGGGCTCTGCTTACCAAAGGGGTGGGTGGCAGGTGATGCCCCCCTACTTGTCGCCATGTAAGCAAGGTCTTGGGTCTGCGGTCAGTTCTGCCTCCGTGCTGTGGGGTGGAGGCTCAAGTCTGGGCAAAGGACTGGGGAGCTGCAGGGCCCCAACATGCTACAGGGGCTGGGCCTGGGCAGTGTCAAGCAGCCGGCCTGGGCCCTTCTATCCCTGGAGCAGCGGCTTGTGCTGGGGTGCAGAGTAAGGGGAAGGAGCCTGCATCTCCATGGAGCCCCCTGCCCCTCCTGGGCCAGAGCCAGTCCTTGTGGGGGGCCTGACATCTGCATGGCCCCAGCCCCAGCTGCACCCTCCAACTGGCCTGGTGCCAGCCAGGGTGGTGTGAGGATGGGAGTCAACGTGGCTGCCCGTTCCCAGCCCTGCTGAGGCCATAAATCACCTAGCTTCCTCTTCCTGGGAAGTGGGGGGAGATGCTACCTGGGAACTTGCCCTGGGTTTGAGTAGAAGCCCCCCCAGCAGGGCACTGCCTCAGCCCAGGGCTGCCAGGTGGGGTCCTGCCTTAGCCCCTGCCCTGCAGTGGGTAGGGGTCTGGGCAGTGCCCTGCTTGTGGGGTGGCATGCCTTAGCCCCTGCCCTGCATCTGGGAGCAGAGGTCTCCTACCCCGACCCAGCCCTGCCTTGGGGTGGGGGGGTCCTGCCTTAGCCCCTGCCCTGCAGCTGGGTGGGGACTGGGCACCCCAACCCAGTCCTGCCGGGGGGGTCCTGCCCTGCCGGGGTCTCAGGCCGGGCCCGGTGCCCCGGGGGGGAGGGGGGGGCCTGGGTCCGGGAGGAGCATCCCCGCCGTGTGCCCGGGTCCCCGCAGATACGTGCTGCGCTCGGCCCCGCCCCCCAGGACTCTGCCCCTTTAACACCCTGTTCTCCCGCCAAGGGGGCGTAGCTTGTGCCACCCACTGACGTCACCCGCGGGACCCCGCCTCCTCCTTAAAGGCGCCGCGGAGGGGTGGAGCGGGATGGGGGGTGCTTATGGTCTGCGCCGCTCGGAGACCGGCCCGTGCCTGCTGCAGCTCGGAGGTGCCGCGGGGGACCGGCCTTGCGGGGGGGCCCCCGGAGGGAGGGGCCATGGGGAGGGGGTCCCCTGGGGGGCTGGGGCCTGGGCTGGGGTCCCGCTCCCCCCACGCAGAGGGTTGCCGGGCCCCCCAGGGGCAGAGGGCTCCTGCTGCCCCCCCGCCCCCAGCCGCTTCCCCTCAATGTCACCGGTTCCAAAGTCGCGGGGGGCTGGCACCGGCACCGGCACATCCCGTGCCCTGGCGCTCGTTAATCATTAGCTCCCGGGCAGGGGCCGCCTGCCCCCTCTCCCCGCGGCTCCACGGGGCGTGGGGGCCCCGGTTCTGCGCTGGCGTGGGGGCACGGGCTGCCTGGGAGCCCCTGGCTGGCCCTGGGGGTCAGGGTCACGGGCCAGGTCTCTCTCTGGCTGCAGGTGCAGCAGCGATGTTGCTGATCAGAACGACCGCCAGGAGCTGCTGGGCCCTTCAGGGCGTCCCCAGGTACGAGGGGGCCACGTCACTGCTGAGGTCAGGAGCCCTTGCCAGCCTTGCCCCCTCAAGTCATTGCCTCGCGGCCTCCGGGGAAGTGGACAGGATTCGATCCCGCTTCCCTGGGGATGCTCCTCGGGCTCTCGGATGCCTCGGCAGGTCCCAGGACCCACCCCGCGGCGCTAACCTAATGTCTGTGCCCGAGACCCCTCTGCGAGCGCGGCTGGGAGCCCAGGGGCTCTCAAGGCCGGGAAGGCAGAGATCCCTTTATGGCCCTATAGCAGCGTTATCTTATCGTGCCTCAGCAGATGAGCTGGGTCAATGTCCCCATGCAAGCAGGGAGGCTCTGCTGAAAGGGAAAGCTCCAGGGCAGGTTGAGCCTGGCTGGGTGCTGAAATGCAGCTCTTTCTGGGGAGGCGCCTGGCATAGCAGAGTGGCATCAAGCCCCAGCATCCTGCCCCACAGCGTATGGGGGCTGTCTCCAGCTCTATCCTCATGGGTGTCCTGCCTTGTCCCCCAGGGTGGCAGCCGGAGCATGCACGCCCTGGATCCCAACCCACACCCATGGCACCTGGAGTGGGAGCAGCCACAGTGGCAGGAGCAGTTGGAGGCGGAGGGCAACGGCCGTGGGGGCCCTGCTGGGCCTGGGCTCTGCCCTGGCCTATGGTGGGCACTGCCGGCAGGTGAGGACCTGGGGCTGGGGGAGGGCAGGGCTGCGGTGGGGGTGGGATGTGATGAGCAGCTTGGATCTCTGCTTCAGGCCTGACGTGGGTTTGGAGCTGGGCAGGCTGCTCGGGACGAGCGGGGCTTCCTGTTCCTGGTCGGTGGGGGGGGTGGTGCGGCCAGTCGGACTCCTGGGTCCACCCTGGAGCAGGTGCACGCGTGTTGAGCTGCCCCATGTCTCTGCAGACGGCCCAGGCGGAGTCGAGCCCTCAGGACACTGTGCTGGGGCCCTTCCCACTGTACACACGGGAGGAAGTGGGGAGACACCGCAGCCCCGAGCAGCGTGTCTGGGTGACTCACGGCCGTGAGGTCTTTGACATTACTGATTTCCTGGACCTGCACCCTGGTGGGCGCAGCAAGATCCTGCTGGCGGCCGGCGGCGCCCTGGAGCCCTTCTGGGCCCTGTATGCAGTGCACAACCAGGCGCATGTGCGGGACCTGCTGCGGGAGTACAAGGTGGGCGAGCTGCACCCTGAGGAGCTCACAGCCCCAGCAGCTGCTGACGACCCCTATGCTGGGGACCCACCACGCCACCCTGCGCTGCACGTCAACAGCCTCAAGCCCTTCAATGCAGAGCCGCCGGGCGAGCTGCTGGGCGAGCACTTCCTGACGCCCCCTGAGCTCTTCTTCAAGCGCAACCACCTGCCTGTGCCGCACGTGGACCCCGATGCCTACTGCCTGAAGGTGGAAGGGCCGGGGGGCCGCACGCTGAGTCTCTCACTGCAGGACCTGCAACGCCGCTTCCCCAAGCATGAGGTGACAGCCACGCTGCAGTGTGCTGGCAACCGCCGCAGCGAGATGAGCCGCGTCCGCCCTGTCAGGGGACTGGACTGGGGCATCAGCGCCATCAGCACGGCGCGCTGGGGTGGGGTCTGGCTGCGGGATGTCCTGGCCGACGCTGGCTTTGCTGAGGAGCCTGAGAGCCAGCGGCACGTCTGCTTCGAGGGGCTGGACCAGGACCTGACAGGCACAGCTTACGGTGCATCCATCCCTTTCTACCAGGCCATGAGTGCCCGTGCTGATGTGCTGCTGGCCTACGAGATGAACGGTGCGGCGCTGCCCCGCGACCATGGCTTCCCACTGCGTGTGGTGGTGCCGGGCACGGTGGGTGCCCGCAATGTCAAGTGGCTGGGCCGCATCTGGGTGAGCGCAGAGGAGAGCCCCAGCCACTGGCAGCGCAACGACTACAAGGGCTTCTCACCTGGCGTGGACTGGGACACAGTGGATTACACCACGGCCCCCGCCATCCAGGAGCTCCCGGTGACGTCAGCCATCACGGACCCGCCACCCGGTGCCACTGTGGCCTCCGGCGAGGTGACGGTGAAGGGCTACGCCTGGAGCGGGGGCGGGCGTGGTGTGGTGCGTGTGGACGTCTCGCTGGATGGTGGCCACACCTGGCAGGTGGCCGAGATGCAAGGGGAGCAGCAGCCGCCAGGGCAGGTGTGGGCCTGGAAGCTGTGGCAGCTGACGGCCCCTGTGCCCCCCGGCACCACGGAGCTGGACATCGTGTGCAAGGCTGTGGATGCCAGCTACAACGTGCAGCCTGACACGGTGGGGCCTATCTGGAACCTGCGCGGTGTCCTCAGTCATGCTTGGCACCACGTGCGGGTGACTGTGGCCGAGGAGTGACCAGGCCGGGGCCAGGCTGGCTCGTGCTGCAGCCCCTGTGGGACACGAGTTTGGCAGGTCTCAGCCAAGGCATGAAGCTTTCACAGGGAGGAAAGCGAACCCCCCTAGCCTGGAGCCCCCTGGGTGGAGCTGGCAGATGCCCCTACTGCCCCCACCGCCCAGGGGTTTTACTCTGTGCCCCCTCCTGCCACCCCCACTCCAGTCTATCCTCCGCAAGTCCTGATGCCCACCCCTTCCCCAGCTCCATCTTCTTACAGACTCTTCTTCATACCGCTCCCACCGCCTGTGCCTGTCACAGGCGACCTCAAAGGGCTCAGCCTTATCGGAGACGTGTGAGAATTGGGCGGGGGCCAAGATTGTGCTGCTTTTATAGACTCCACTGCGATAATGCACCACCCTGAGTGCAGCACAACTGGACTTTCTCCCGGACTTTACCCTGTGCCTTAGCCTTGCTGCCCGATCTCTGCTGCCCAGTGCCCCCTGCCAGTGCAGCCTTGGGTTCCTCCACTGCAGGCCGCGCTCTTCAGCAAAGCCTCCCCTTGACTGGGAGCTCTGCTCCCCGCCCTGGTCCTGCCAACGGACCTGACCAGGGCTTTGCATGTAGGGACCTAGGTGCCCCACATGCTTGGGGGGCCACGGCCACGGCCCCAATCGCCTCCTCTGTGTGTAGCTTCCTGGACTTTTCTGTCCCTAAACGCGTTTTTGGCGGGGAGACTATGGGGTTATGATTATCAGGGGTGATTTTCTTGCAGTCTCTGGGGAAGACAGAGGCAAATCCCCACCCAGCTCCATGGTCCCCACCAACGTGCTGCCTCAGGGCTGGGCTCCCCAGCACCAATGCCCCCCATACGCCCCTCCAAGCATCTGCGTCCCAGGTGACTGCCTGATGCCATCACCCTGTTCCCAAAACCGCTACGGTGCATTTTGGGATGGTGGGGCTTGGGCAGGCGCAGCCCCCAGGGCGATGTCCACGCGTTCCTTATTCTTAATTAAAGCCTCCCCGGCCGTTCCCCGGCTCAGTTCTGTCTCCTTGGGGCCCAGTCCGGCAGGGATGGTCAACACCCACCCCCGTGGGTACTTGGCTGGGCAGAGCCTCCCAGCCCCTGGGCAGCCCCCCAGTCTTGGCTCTCGGTCCTTGCTTCTTGTGCACTTGGGCCTCGTGCCCTTGGCCCAGGCTGCTGGGCAAGGCCAGGCTGGACCCTTGCAAAGGGTGGTGGGAGGACGGTACCAGGCCAGGAGTGACAGTGCTGCCCCCTGCCTCCTCCTGGAACCCTTTAGAGGTCCTGGAAGTCAGCTGGCGGCATTGATTGCTGCCCAGGTGATGCAGATGGATTGGCCCAAGCACGGACACAGGGACCTTGTGCCTGGGGGACCAGTGGGCACATGGGCTGGTGGATGCAGAGCTCCTGGCTGAGCTTATTTCTTCCCCACTGGGTGCCTCCGTTTCCCCACCCAGGACACAGCTGCCTTGGCCCAGGTTGGGGAACAGAGCTAGGCCTTATCTGCAGGGCATGGGCACCACCTGCTGGCTCGCCAGCACCACTACAGGGCCCAAGGGGTCCAGACCCGGGACAACGTGGCAGGGACAGGGAGGCATGAGCTGCAGCAGAGCTGGAGCCAAGAGAAGGGGCTCTGCTGCCCCAGCGCATGGAGCTGGCACTGCCGATCGATTAGAGCCCCCCTTATCCCCAGCATGGGCTCAGAGGGCCTGTGCCCAAGGCAGCTGGCCTCGGGCGGCACGCAAAGCCTCCGGCACCCCTGCAGTCGGTCTGGAAGGTGCAAGGGCAACGGGCTGGGAAAGCAGGTGTCTCCCTGGCATGAGGGCAAAGAGCCTGTCTGGCCGTGGCGTGGCCCAGCCGGGTGCGACGGGGTACCCAGGCCCCAGCACCTGCTGCATGGGGGCTGGGGGGTTGCACCTGCCAGCTGGGTCTGGGTTTGGGGGATGGGGGGCGAGAGCAGAGGCAGGCCCAGGGGTGGGGGGGATCTGGCCTGGCCTGGTGGGGGGCAGGGGGAGCTGGGGGGAGGCCCCCCAACCCTTGCTGGGGCCTGCCCGGGTGGGGCACGGGGCC